TCAGACTTAGTTTTATTAAACATTATATTGGTTTTTTTAACCTCGTTCATATGTACCCTGCGTTCTTGAATATACTTGTGTGCCAATAGCTCAACAAGTGTATCACCATTGTTTACAAACACTACCTTCTTACATGCTTATTTAACTTTTGATGTAATTCATTATTTCAAAATTAATCTTAGAATTCATTTTGGTAATTAGAGTATTATTGTCTGGATTAGGTACGTTCTTACATGATCAAGATGATTGATTGTTGGGCTGGCTCGACCAGTCAGTTTAAACCAGGTGATTGGATTTTCTAAGAGATAAAACAATCAGGTGCTGACTTTTATTCTATCACCAATCCAAAAATGGTAAATAACTAAAAATTCAAAATAAAATACAATTTTACAATGTGTTAAATAATATTATTAAAGTTAATGATTCATCCGGTATGAGTAGCGGCGTAGTCCGGGATGTAGCAATTCAATGCTCCGACACGGTGTAGTTCAGAATGAAGAAATGAAATACTTCCAATGTAAAAATAGATAAATTATACTTTTGTTGCACAGTCAAATGTATCACGCGCAATTTGAAGGCATCAAACAAACTATTTCAAAAGTTACTCACGCTGTGGTTAGCCACAAATTGTGATTAAGAATGCATCCTGCGACAGTCCTTTGTCCAGTGATGTGACGATTTGCAAAAGACGGATGCGAGGCTACGGTAACAATAGAATGTTGCACGGTGAAGTCCAGATTTAACTCCGGTAAAATGTAAACTAATCGTGAATATAATTACACAAAATATATAGATAAATTAGGGAATCCAAGGCAACACACCCCCCGTCTGATATCAGACTGATATTACTATTCAATGATTAAATCACATATGAATATAGAATATATAAATCCCAATTGAAGCTTGGTACGGCACAGTTTCTCATTCTTTAAAAGGAAGTATCCGACGATATGATAGTCATCTGTGTACATTTCACATTGTTGTTGTTGCAACGGTAAGAACAATTTTTCCCAACGTTGAGAGACGGCGATCGAAGATAGTCCTCTTCTGACTTTGCTATAGTCACATATTTGTGAGTCTCTGGCGAAATAAATCGTTTCCTCTTAACGTTTAATCCTGCGGATCTAGTTGTTATATGACGATCTCGATTTTTGATTTTGTCGAAGTAATGTCTGCCAAAAGGTGTTACTTTGTAATGATGTCCAGATAAGATCACTGGTTCGTTTTCATTAAGATTCGAGTCAGATATGACGATACTACTTCCTACTCGGAGTAGTCCTAGCTTATTCAAAGGCAGATTGAGATTGGCAATTGGTCCTTGTTTCGGAATATGTTTTTGTTTCTGAACGCAACTTATTTCTTCTCCGTGATTTTCAGGTCTTGTTGATTCCAGAATGAAAGTTTCGTTACCCATAGAATTTTCAATTGAAGCCATAAATTTCGCTTCTGTTGACACAAGTGCTTCTCCTTTAGAAAGATTCGTGAATCTACCATACTTGGTACTAGGTCCAGTACACTGAAGAATTTTTATGGAATGGGTTTTTGCAACCTTGACATTCGATTTAAAGTTTAGGCCGTGATCCTGACTAACGATTGGATTCTCGTCCTTGACTGATATTTCCGGTCCTGAGTCAAGAAGTTGTTCTGGTTCCGTAAATGAAACGTTAGTTATCTTCGTGTTGAATTCAAGTGGAACAATTTGCTTGTCAACATATGTATTTCAAATTATGACCCAACCAAGTTTCAACTTTTGGGCAAATGGAGTTCTGGATGGTCATAGGCGTTGTTCAAGGACGTGGTGTGCCTCTATAAGGTCTCTTCCAATTAACAGTTGAATTTTGCACTTTTCCTCTATTGGTGGAATGCTTCCTCTGAGTTCTTTTAAATGAGGATGATGCATTGTTACTTCAGGAGTAGGGATTTTGTCCCGATTATTGGGAATATCATCACATTCGATTAATGTAGGCAGATCAAATTGTACGTCACTCTGTACAGATTTTATGAAGAAATCTCTTCCTCTCTTACCAGAAGTAGCTACTCTGCCGGAGCATATGTTAGAGAGTAGTTTTCCGGTTTTTCAAGAACGTGGAACTGTCTGAAGAATTCAGGCGAGGCAAAAGACCGGTTGCTTTGGTCGTCAATGATGGCGTACATCCGAATAATTTTGTCTGTCCTGTCCTTGTGGTACTCATCCACAGGTAATATCTTGGCATAAGATTTCTCACTCTTATGATCCTTGTAGATCTCTGTGCAGGTCGAACCTAGAAAGGTTAACTTTGTTTCAGCTTACTCTGTCTGCTCCCCGCCGTAGATTGTTCCAGGCGAATTATCTTGAGAAATGATGAGTGGTTGCATCCTTGTTATGTGTAGTGCGGTGGTGTGTCGTTGACTTCCACACTCGTTACAACTGATGCTCGCGTTGCAATCACGACTCCTGTGTGTGGTTAACTCACAGCACTTGTAGCAAACATTGTTCTGTCTTAACAGTTCTTTGCGATCCTCGATAGGTTTGGCTCGGAACGCTCGACATTCGTTTAAGGGATGCTTTGTATGATGCAAAATGCAAAGACTTTGTTGTTCACTGCTGTCTCCAGGTTGCTGTTCAGGTTCTATTTTATGGACGTTGACTTCAGAATACGTCTGAGTTGTGAACTTTGGCGCAGCACCTTTTGCATTTCGTGTGACTTTTGACCCAGAGATGAACCCAGGATCGTTCTTAATTTTGCTAATTTCCCTGATGAAGGCAGGGAATTCTGTGAAAGACGGAACGGTAACTTCGTATTTAGACCTGTATCTTGAAGCCCTTGTTATCCACTTTTCTTGGAGTCCATATGGCAGTTTTTCCACAATTGGATTTATCCCGGACGAAGAGTCGAAATAAGCTAGCAAACATCCCAGCTTGGGATTTTCCTTGTGATATTCTATTTCTGATAGAATGTCAGACAAGTCACTGTCTTTGTTCGTAAAGGTAGGAAAGTTGACGAGTTTACTTGTGAGACAGGCCTCCAACATTTCTGGAGCACCATATCGCTCATCCAGTCTCTGCCATAACCTCTGTAGGCCTCTTGTTGGGTTGTTGGCATTTGATGCCCTTATACTCATGGCATGTTTGGCAGATTCTGGCTCTAGCCACTTAATCAATAGGTCTATCTGTTCCGAGTCCGAAACATGTAATTCGTCTATGACGTTTTTAAAGCTGGCTTTCCATGTATGGAAGGATTCTGCCCGGTCATTAAAGCTTGTTAGCCGTGAGAACAGCAGGTCCTTACGTAGGAGAAATCTAGTTATCTTTGATGTAGGATTGATTTGTTGCAGGTGTGCAACAGGGGTCTCTCCTATAACGCCTTGTTTTTGGTATGCAACAGGGATCTCTTCTGAAACGCCCTGTTTTCCTATGCCTTTTATTGTTCCCAGATCTGGGAATTCATTAACGTCCGGTGACTTAGCATGTGTAGACAAGACCGCAGGTTTCTGTGATGGCAGGTTCAATGCCACGGAGGGCACGAAGTCTGGCGCTTCATGACTTAGCTCAATCTTAACAGAAGTTTGTTTTTTTCTGTTGAGGGGCTATCACGTCATGAATGGAAGTTGGTTCAGGATGTTTATTAACAAAGTCTTGCACACGTTGGAGCAGGTCTTCTGTTTCGTCAGAGAGATCGCTAAATGCTTGGCGGCCGTCGTATTCCAGGATACGAGCCTCGGCTTCTGCGGCTGCAGCTTCACTTTGTGCTTCTAGAAGGTTCAAATTGGCCTTTAGTTAAGCTCTTTCCCGGCTTACACGCGCAGCCTCTTGTTCCAATTGAGCTTTCCTGCGTATTTCGTGAGCTTTTCTTTGGGCGGCTTCCTGTTCTAATTGAGCTTTTCTTTGAGCGGCCTTCTGTTCTAGTTGAGCGTTTCTTTGAGCGGCCTCCTGTTCTAGTTGAGCTTTTCTTTGAGCGGCCTCCTGTTCTAGTTGAGCTTTTCTTTGAGCGGCCTCCTGTTCTGCTCGGATGGCTTCTTGCTCCATTTCGGCTTTGACTTCCGTTTGTGTGAACAGAGCTTGTTCTTCTAATAAGGCCTCCTGTTTAAGGATCAGGGTATGTTTTTCGGCAAAGGCAATTTTAGACTTAGCAGCCTCTTTTTTGGCACGCTTCCTCCGTGCAAGACTTGACATGTCAGAGACGTTGGAGCTCCCATTGTGCGAGGTTTTCTTGCTCTTAGATGTCTTTTTTTTCGTAGATTTAGCCTTTGTCAGGGTGAGGCGATGCTCGTGTAAGGTTTCAATTGCTAGACATTCGGATATCTGTTGAAAGTTTACATGTATCAATGTTTTGAAGGCTGTCTACCGTTCTTGTATTTTTAAGAAATTTCAAGTACTCGTCTGTGAGCCTGCGATAAATAGTACAGGCTTGTACAATTTTATCTTGTGCTGTTAGCAATTGCTGGAGGTCGTTAGAAGGCATGGTCGTTTCCAATAACTGCAATTCTAGGTCTGACCATAAGGCCTCTAAGTCATAATAGAACTTGTAACGTTTCTCTGTAAAAAACTCCTTGTCCCTTTTCGGTAAGTTCACGTACTCGCCTAGTCTTGGCATTTTCATCTAAAGGTGTTGTAGAAGACGGGTTCTCTATTTGTCCTTTAAAGACATCTCCCTCTGGGGGTTGAACCTCGTATTGCTGCTCCGCTTGACTGGGATCCATGATATAAATCAACTAACTGTAGGCAATGTTTGTTCAACGTTGTTGGTTTGCTGCCTAGGACACACAAGCTGTGTTGCGTAGTGTCAATGTAACAGCTACGAACGATGCTCCGTTGTATTTCCTGTTCAGGAGATGTGTAGACAAGTTGTTGTCAATTTACTGTGTACAGGAATGCACAGCCGACGTCTGGTTGTAAGTGTTGTCACTGCCGCAAGGTGGAGTATTCTTTAATACACAACAGACAAGTTGTAGCTTATTTACTGTGCTGGCTCGACCAGTCAGTTTAAACCAGGTGATTGGGTTTACTAAAAGATAAAACAATCAGGTGCTGACTTTTATTCTATCACCAATCCAAAAATGGTAAATAACTGAAAATTCAAAACAAAGTACAATTTTACAATGTGTTAAATAATATTATTATAGTTAATGATTCATCCGGTATGAGTAGCGGCGTAGTCCGGGATGTAGCAATTCAATGCTCTGCTACGGCGTAGTCCAGAATGAAGAAATAAAATACTTCCAATGTAAAAATATATAAATTATACTTTTGTTGCACAGTCAAATGTATCACGCGCAATTTGAAGGCATCAATCAAACTATTTCAAAAGTTACTCACGCTGTGGTTAGCCACAAATTGTGATTAAGAATGCATCCTGCGACAGTCCTTTGTCCAGTGATGTGACGTGGCAAGGTTTATTTGCAAAAGACGGATGCGAGGCTACGGTAACAATAGAATGTTGCACGGTGAAGTCCAGATTTAACTCCGGTAAAATATAAACTAATCATGAATATAATTACACAAAATATATAGATAAATTAGGGAATCCAAGGCAACACAATTGTCTTAAGAAAGTGTATCCAATAACATATAAGTAAGTTTACCAGATAGTCTGTTATCAATAAACACAAAGTTAAAAGAATTGTAATTGTGATTTATGCTTATCACAGACTTTATTGTATTAAAGATTGTTTTGTTTGTATAATAACGTACATATATAACTAATGTTGCTCAATATGCTTGTGTGTCCACATCTCAGAAGGTTTACCATCATTTCATTGTGTACACAAATTTCCTTTGTGCATTCTTATCATACTTTAATTGTCACTCAATATTTTTAGGATGCAGTTGAAAGCTTAAAAAATGCATCAACAATGCCAGTTTAAAGAAAATTATATATTAAACTATTGAATACAAGGAAATGGAAATTGGTAATCTTTGGTAAGTTCAGTATTAGTGTTTTAATAAAACTTGTTCTTGTAATAATCATGATAATTGATTTTCTTCCAGATTTTTAGGTGACAACAACTTAGACTGTTTACCAAAAGATCTGTTATCGTCGAACACGAATCTTAGAGAATTGTAAGTATGATTTATGCTTATCTCAGACTTGATTTTATTATATTGTATATTGTATATTTAATCATGTTCACATATCGGATGTTCTTCAATATACTCGGTTTGCCATCATTCTATATAAAATTTCGTTCAATATTTGATGTTCAATTATAAAGCAATACAATTACATCAATAATATCAGGTGGATGACAAATATATTAGATTCATTGAATAACTGAAGATACCCCTTTGAAATGTTTGGTAATTTGAATGTAAGTAGGTTACTTAAAAATGTTCATGCTCATTGATTTTCAATTAGATATTAACTGAATAACAATTTAGAAAGTTTACCAGAAGGTCTTGTAACACTGACCACAAATCTTCCAGAATTGAAAGTGTAATTGAAATTTATATCAGACTTAATCTTATTAAAGATTATATTGTTTTTTTATGCTCGTTCATATGTACCCTGTGTTCTTTAATATACGTGTGTGCCAATAGCTTAGCAAGTTTATCACCATTGTCTACAAACACTACTTCTTACATGCATATTTAACGTTTGATGTAATTCATTATTTCAATATTAGTCTTAGAATTCCTTTTGGTAATTTGAGTATTATTGTCTTTATTAATACGTTCTTACATAATCAAGATGATTGATTTTCTTCCAAAAGTGTATCCAATAACAACTAAGTAAGATTACCAGATAGTTTGTTATCATCGAACACAAAGTTACAAGAATTGAAACTGTGATTTACGCTTATCACAGACTTTATTTTATTTTATATTGTTTTGTTTATATAATCATATAACTGATGTTCCTCAATATGCTTGTGTGTCCACATTTCAGATGGTTTATTTTGTACACACACTTCATTTGTGCATTCTAATCTTACGTTAAATGTCACTCAATATTTTAAGGTTGCAGTTGAAAGCTTAAAAAGCTTAAAAAATCCAACAACAATGCCAGTTTAAAGAAAAAATATATAATAAACTATTGAATACAAGGAGATAGAAATTGGAAATCTGTGGTAAGTTCAGTATCAGTGTTTTAATTAAACGTGTTCTTACATAACCAAGATTATTGATTGTTTTCCAGAAATTTAGGTGGCAACAACTTAGTCAGTTTACCGAAAGATCTGTTATCGTCGAACACGAATCTTGAAACTTTGTAAGTATGATTTTTCCTTATCTCAGACCTTATCTTATTATAAATTATATTTTATATTTCATCATGTTCACATATCGGATGTTGTTCAATATACTAGCCGAAGTCAAATTGAACTGCTTATTTCATTAGCAGTTTTATAGCAGTTTCTTGAATTTGTAGCAGTTTTGGAGCAGTTTAAAGCAGTTTTGTTAAGGCATTTGAAATAACTGCTTACTGGTAAATGATAACTGTTAATTCAAGCAGTTTAAATATTTCCAAGCAGTTTTCCATAGCAGTTTTCTCAAGAGCAGTTATTTATTGACAGTTATCTTTTTTTTTCATTTCAACTTATATAAAGCTACCAGATTGATGAAGGTTATAATTGCCTTCCAGCTAAGCTTGGCAGTTATTTTTATATAGCAGTTTCATTTGCAAATTATTTCTTGGAAGTTGTATCAAACATAATTAATGTGAATTAGATAACAGTGGTCTTGTAGAAATGTGCCATCTGTTTTCAATTAACCTCTGTGTAGTGGACAGGAAGTACTATCTACAAAAAGATTGAGGACACATGAAGGAGAACACATATCTTAATACATTGTTCTGCAATTACTATCACTTTTAATAAAAGTATCTTAATGAAAAAAGTTGATATTTTTTTCTTAATAAATATATCACATTTTAAAGATTTAGGCAGTTGTTAGTAATCATTGAGGGAACACTTCAACAGAATCAAACAACTCCTTAAACATCCCCATGTATTGCAATATAGTAAAATTTGAATTTGGAATCAACAGGCAGACAACAAGAAAAGATGTGTCTTTTTTCATGAACAAAATGAGAATTTTATATGGGATATAATATTTGGAAATAGTTCTTTTCACAATGAATAGTGAAGATGGATCCTTCTAACTGGCATCAATGGTAATTTTTGAAAATTGGTGTTTTTTGGTGTGAATTTTGAATTACATCTTAGTTCTGGTACGTGCAATAAATTGGATACTACTATTTTGATTTTTTGAAATTGTGCTTGTTTTATTCAACATAACAAACAAATAATGACAAGTATAATACCTAGCTAGCATAATTCTTATTTTTGCTCCTGTCCGGCTGGTGTAGGTGTCATGTATTCCATACGGATTATATTAGAATGAAATTGATTCAGCTTACATATATATACTTAATCATGTTAAAATTTAAGAGTCTCTTACTAATCAAGTAATATAGTAAATAATTAATTTGAAGTATATAACATTCTATATTAATTTCTTTCAATATTTAATGTTGAATTTTGAAACAATAAAGATTACATCAACAATATCAGGTTCACGACAAATATATTTGATTCATTGAATAACTGAGCAAAAAAGTTACTTTCAGATCCGCCACTTTGCTTTGCCCGACCGTCAAAAGCGATATCTAGCTGCCCTGGTGTTCTAAATAGTCGTTTGCAGTCGCTTTCGTCATCGGCAATTTTCCGTTTTTACCAAGTCAATAAAACAGCTATTTTTCATTTCATAAGGTAAAGAACTTCAAAGACAGAAACAATTTATTTCTTTAGAAAACCTTTTAAAGTACTGACTTTATAGATTGGTCGTATGTTATTTTAAAGAAACAACTTTGATGAAGTATTTTCTTTCACTGCGCGTAATTGTTTCTCGAGAGCGTATTTCAAAACATTCTGATTTTCGGCAAATTAAGTTTGTTTTTTCACTAAAACGTGATAAAAAATGCCTTTAGTTAATGTTTCATCCATTTATTGCATTAAAAGCATCATATTCCTTCCAGAATCGCTTGTCAAACATTGTTTATTTTCGTAAATTTGTCTTCGTCCGCCATTGTAGTATTTGTACGAACAATGGATTTAGAGGCGGGATTGTTCGCAAGCGGATCAGCTAAGACCGAAATTCGTATTCTTACGATAATAACTACAGACGCACAAATGGAATACCTGACAGAAGAATAATGATCCCAAAAGTGACATTTTTGCATTCCACGAGCATACAAAACTTTTTTGAGATCTCCTTGCGAAATGTTTTATATTTTCATGTAAATGCACTGATTCAATTTATTGATTAAAGCTGCTTAAATTTGCTTAATCTATATATCATTTTAATGAGAAACAAAGAATTTCATAAACCTGATAAACAGAATATTTTATTGACTTTTAACTGATATATGACACTTTCTTCTTTTTTGCTATAAAAAAAGATCTTTTTAATCTTTTAAGTGCTAGATATATTGTTGGAAGTTTCTAACAAGAGGAAAAAATTTAATTAAGTAACTGTAAATGATTATTTAAGACATAAACTGAAACAACTGTTACTCAAATTGTATTCTCAGGTATGAATTGAACAATAAAAAAAAAATTAAATAAATAGGATACATATAGCTAGGTATGTTAACATTGAATGCAAATCTTCAATATTTGTAAGTGTAATTGATATTTATATCAGACTTTAACTTATTTGATATTGTGTGGAATTTTAATCTCATTCATATGAACCTGCTGTTTCTTTAATATACTTGTGCGTCAATAGCTCATCAGGTTTATCACCGTTCTGTTGTCTACGAACACTTTCTTCTTACATGCTTATTCAACTTTTAATTTAATTCGATATTTCAAAATTAATCTTAGAATTCAATTTGGTAATTTGAGTCTTATTGTCTTGATTAAATACCTTCTTAAATAATCAGAATGATTGATTTTCTTCCAAAGTTGTATCAAAGAACAACTAAGTAAGTTTATCAGATAGTCTGGTCTTCTCTATACCTTATGTTCTTAACATAGCAACAAATCTGCTATCAGTCAAAAGACTGCGGCTATATGAAAATAATTTGAAGACAGAAAAGAGTCTGAATAAACAAATCCGATTACGTTTGTATAGCCATACCACCTATATATAACAAAATTTTTTAACTTTAATGCTAATTTGAACATACTTATAAACAAAAATATTTTAAAAACGTTTCTTAACGTACATGTTAAAAACATGTTAAAAAATTTGATGTTCACTCAAGTAAGGCAGGGCTAGAAATGACCATATATACACATACATTTAACACAATACTTTTTCCCGCCCAAAAAATTCATACGCCTTCGAACTACTACGTGAGAAGACAATTAATTCCCGTTACACTACGTGCCACGGAAATTAGGAATTATCATCAAACACATTTCAAGAATTGTAGTTGTGATTAAAATGAAATTAAGAAGATGTGGTATAATTGCCAATTCAATAAGACAACTCTCCACCAGAGACTTAATGACAATGTTTATTACATACTACTTTTCATTATAGATTGTTTTGTTTATTTAATCACGTACACACATATATTTGATGTTTTTCAATATACTTGTGTGCTGAGAACACAGCAGTTTTGATATCATTCTATTTTAATTATGTTCAATATTTAAAATGTTGTAGTTGAAAGCTATAAATATTACATCAACAATATCAGGTTTACGAAAAACATATGTATTCAATTGAATAAATGAAGATACGCTTTTGAATATAAATATATATATTTACTGTGTTCATGATAATTAGAAAATAAAAAGTTAGAAAGTTTACCAGAAGGTCTGTTAACATTGAATACAAATCTTCACTATTTCTTAGTGTAATTGACATTTATATAAATCTTAAACTTATTTGATATTGTGTGGAATTTTTAACCTTGTTTATATGTACCCTGTGTTCTTTAATATACTTGTGTGCCAATAGCTCAGCAGGTTTATCACCATTGTCTACAAAAACTTCCTTCTTACATGCTGATTAAACTTTTAATGTAATGCAATATTCTAATTAATCTTAGAATTCCTTTTGGTAATTTGAGTATTGTTGTCTTGAATTAGTACGTTCTTACATAATCAAGATGATTGATTGTCTTCAGAAGGTGTTAACAACTAGGTAAGTTTACCAGATAGTCTGTTATCATTGAACACAAAGTTACAAGAATTGTAATTGTCATTTATGCTTATCGCAGACTTTATTTTATTAAAGAATGTTTTGTTATATAATCATGTACATATATAACTGATGTTCCTCAATACACTTTTGTGTCAACATCTCAGAAGGTTTACCATCATTTCATCTTGTTCAGAAACTTCCTTTATGCATACTTATCTTACTTTAAAGGTCGCTCATTATTTAAAGGTTGCAGTTGAAAACTTAAAAATTCATAAGCAATGTTAGTTGAAAGAAAAATATACTATATCTATTGATTACACAGAGACCGAAATTGGTAATCTTTGGTAAGTTCAGTATCAGTGTTTTAATTAAACTTGTTCTTACATAATCATGATAATTGATTTCCTTCCAGAGATTTACGTGAAAACAACTTAGTAAGTTTACCAAAAGATCTGTTATCGTCGAATACAAATCTAAGAGGATTGTAAGTTTGATTCATGCTCTTCTCAGATTTATCTTATTACAGATAATATTGTATATTTAATCATGTACACACATATCTGATGTTATTCAAAATACTTTTGTTCCCGGAACGCAGCAGTTTTGTCATCATTCTATTTTAATTTTGTTCAATATTTAATGTTGAATTTTAGGGCAATCAAAATTCCATCAACAATATCAGGTGGATGACAAATATATTTGATTCATTGAATAACTGAAAATTTTAATCTTATAATTCCTTTCATACTTTGAGTATTGTTGTCTTGCTTAAGTACGTTCTTACATAATCAAGATGATTGATTGTCTTCCAATATTGTATCCAATAACAACTAAGTAATTTTACCAGATAGTCTGTTATCATCGAACACAAAGTTACAAGAATTGAAACTGTGATTTACGCTTATCACAGACTTTATTTTATTAAATATTGTTTTGTTTATATAATCATGTACATATATGTAGGACTCTAAAGTGCGATGGGAACACTAAAACGCGACGGTCACGCTAAAGTGCGATGGTTTTTTACGCTAAAAAAGAGGGACCAAAGATACCAGAGGGACAGTCAAACTCATAGATCGAAAACAAACTGACAACGCCATGGCCAAAAATAAAAAGACAAACAGACAAATAATAGTACAGATGACACAACATAGAAAACTAAAGACTAAGCAACACGAACCCCACCAAAAACTGGGGGTGATCTCAGGTGCTCCGGAAGGGTAAGCAGATCTTGCTCCACATGTGGCACCCGTCGTGTTGCTTATGTTATTACAAATCCGGTAAATAGTCTAATTCGGTAAGTCACATTCATGAAAAGGGAAGGGTATTGTAGTTACGACATAAGGAACATATCCGATATCATCTAAAGTGCGATGGTCTGTGCTGTTCAATGGAACACGCTAAAGTCGATGCCTCAATACGCTAAAGTACGTTTTTCCGCGAAAATGCGTTTGTTAGCGAAAGTAAGGAAGTTAGCAACTTTAAACAGCATTCTGGTAATACAAGCCGTTTGTACAAACAAAAATTGACATGCCGGAAAACCAGAATATTTGTTCATGGTTTTTATTAAGGAAAAAAAAAATCCCAATCCGGAACATTTTTAGTTAGTGCTGACTTAACTTGATTTGGCTAATTTGTGTTTACCAAAGGGCCTCAACACGACTAGTGTAAAACAATTCAAACGAGAAAAATAACGGCCTGATTTATATACAAAACAATAAACGAAAAACAAATATACAGCAACTAACGGCTACCACTGAATTACAAGTTCCTGGCTTGAAACAGGTTCTTAAAGTATATACTAGCTACTGCAATGTAACCATTTCACTTTTTTAACAACTATCGTACATTAAATATAAATAAGAAGATGTAGTATAATTGTCAATGAGACAACTATCCACCCAACACCAAATGTTGTTGATGTTTAAAACTAATAACCATACGGGCTTCAACGTGGAGTCTTGGCTCACGCCGCATATGAAGTTATATAAGGTCACACAATGACCAGTGTAAAACATTTCAAAAGAGAAAGACAACTGCATGATTACTAACACAAAACAAATAAACGAAAAACTAACAGGAACACAGCAAAAATCAAAAACCATTGCCTGAACCCCATTTCCGTTACACCATCGCACTTTAGCGTGCTATGCCATCGCACTTTAGCGTGTCATATAATCGCACTAAAAAAACAAACAACCATCACACTTTAGCATGTCATATAATCGCACTTAAAAAAACAAACAACCATCGCACTTTAGCGTTTGCTACCATCGCACTTTAGTGTAGACCAACGCACTTTAGAGTACCATCGCACTTTAGAGTACCATCGCACTTTAGAGTCCTACATATATAACTGATGTTCCTCAATATGCCTGTGTGTCAACAACTCATAAGGTTTATCATCATTCCATTTTGTACACAAACTTCCTTTGTCCATTCTTATCTTACTTTAAACGTCACTCAATATGTTAAGGTTACAGTTGAAAGCTTTGAAAAATGCATCAACAATACCAGTTTAAAGAAAATATATATTAAACTATTGAATGCCAGGAGATAGAAATTGGTAATCTTTGTTAAGTTCAGTATCAGTGTTTTAATAAAACTTGTTCTTACATAATCATGATAATTGATTTTCTTCCAGAAGTTTAAACAATAACGGCTTAGTAAGTTTACCAAAAGATCTTTTATCGTCGAACACGAAACTACAAAGTTTGTAAGTATGATTTATGCTCATCTCAGACTTTATCTTATTATAGATTATATATCTATTTTTTTTTGTATATTTAATCATGTACACATATCGGATGTTCTTCAATATACTCGATTTCCCATCATTCTATATTTATTTCGTACAATATTTCATGTTGAATTTTAAAGCAATAAAAATTAGATCAACAATATCAGGTTGACGACAAACATGACAAATCCATTGAATAACTGAAGATAGACAGGGCTCACGCTAGCAAGAGACTGGGCCAAAAAAGTTGCTTTCAGGTCCGTCACTTTGCTTTGCCCGACCGTCAAAAGCGATTTCTAGTCACCCTGGAGTTCTAAATAGTCGCTTGCAGTCGCTTTCGTCATCTGCAATTTTCCATTTTTACCAAGTAAAAAAAAACAGCTATTTTTCATTTCATTAAGGAAAGAAATTCAAGGACGGAAATAATTTATTTCTTTCGAAAATCTTTTAAAGTATTGACTTTACAGATTGGTCGTATGTTATTTCAAAGAAACAACTTTGATGAAGTATTTTATTTGACTTACGGTTATTGTTACTCGAAAGGGTATAACAAAATTTTCTGATTTTCGGCAAATTAAGTTTGTTTCTTCTATATAACGTGATAAAAATTGATGATTATTTAAGACATAAACTGAAACAACTGTTACTTTAATTGTTTTCTCAGGTATGAATTGAACAATATAAAAAGAATTAAATAAATAGGATACATATGGCTCTTTATATTATGGTAAAAACAAAACATTGTAGCGCCGTGAGCGAACGAGCACTTCTCTTTTCAGTCTCACCACTTTTCCTTATTAGTTTCAAAACGAGAAGTCACTTCTCCCTTTGGTTATGAAGTAGTGTGAGCCCTGAGATAGACCTTTGAAATGTTTGGTAATTTGAATATAAGTTGGTTAGTTAGGAATGTTCATGATCATTGATTTTCTAATAGATATTTACTGAATAATAAGTTAAAAAGTTTACCAGAAGGTATGTTAACATTGAATGCAAATCTTCAATATTTGTAAATGTAATTGATATTTATATCAGACTTTAACTTATGTAATATTGTGTTGAATTTTAATCTCATTCATATGAACCTGCTGTTAATTTAATATACTTGTGCGCCAATTGCTCAGCAGGTTTATCTCCATTCTGTTGTCTACGAACATTTTCTTCTTACAGGCTTATTTAACTTTCAATTTTATACAAAATTTCAAAATTTGGCTTAGAATTCCATTTGGTAATGTGAATATTATTGTCATGATTAAATACGTTCTTACATAATCAAGATGATTGATTTTTTCTTCCAAAATTGTATCCAATATCAATTACGTATGTTTACCAGATAGTCTGTTATCATCGAACAGAAATTTCAATGACTGTAATTGTGATTAAAATAAAAATAAGATGTGGTATAATTGCCAATTCAATTAGACAACTCTCCACCAGAGACTTAATGACAATGTTTATCAAAGACTTTTTTTTATAATAGATTGTCTTATTTATTTAATCACGTACACACATATTTGATGTTCTTCAATATATTATTGTGCTGAGAACTCAGCAGTTTTGACACCATTCTATTTTAATTCTGTTCAATATTTAAAATGTTGTAGTTGAAAGCTATAAAAATTACATCAACAATATCAGGTTTACGAAAAACATATGTATTCTATTGAATAAATGAAGATAAACTTTTGAATATAAGTAGGTATATTTACTGTGTTCATGATTATTTATTTTCTTCAAGATTATTAAAGCATAACAAGTTAGAAAGTGTACCAGAAGGTCTGTTTACATTCAACACCAATCTTAGAACATTGTAAGTGTAATTGATATTTATATCAAAATTAAACTTATTTGATATTGTGTGGAATTTTTAATCTGTTCATATGTACTCTGTGTTCTTCAATATTCTTGTGTGCCAATAGCTTAGCAGGTTTATCATACTTCTATTATCTACAAAATTTTTCTTCTTACATTCCTATGCTTATTAAATTTTTAATGTAATTCAATATTTAAAAATTAATCTTAGATTTCCTTTAGGTAATTTGAGTATTATTGTATTTATTAAATACCTTCTCACATAATAAAGATGATTGATTTTCTTCCATTTAATATCCAATAACATCTGAGTAAGTTTACCAGATAGTCTGTAATCGTCAAACACAAAATTACAAGAATTGTAATTGTCATTTATGCTTATCGCAGACATTATTTTATTAAAGAATGTTTTGTTTATATAAACATGTACATATATAACTGATGTTCCTCAATATTCTTGTTTGTCGCTATTTTACGACATTTTCCTTTGATCTTACTGACTGATAATTTCCTTTCTCAGCACAGTAGAGTGATATGAAAAATTATCGCAAGAAACTAAGAGCGCACGTTCCGTTGTTAATGTAAACATCAACGTCGTCGTAGGCAAAATAGCGATAAACAGCGTATGATTGGTCAACTGAACTCGATTGTTTTTCTCACGTTCGCCGTACGGCACCGGTTCAAGCGAAAAAATCAATCTCCTTGAGATGACCAACGATAATCTATAAGTATCAACAATTCAGAAGGTTTACCATCATTTCAATTTGTACACACACTTCCTTTGGGCATACTTATCTTACTTTAAACATCACTCAATATTTTAAGGTTGCAGTTGAAAGCTTAAGAAATGCATCAACATTGCCAGTTTAAAGAAAAATATATATTAAACTATTAAATACACAGAGATTGAAATTGATAATCTTTGGTAAGTTCAGTATCAGTATTTTAATAAAACTTGTTCTTACATAATAATGACAGTTGCTTTTCTTCCAGAAGTTTAGAAAATAACAGCTTAGTATGTTTACCAAACGATCTGTTATCGTCGAACACTAATCTTTTTATTTTGTAAGTATGATTTATGCTTATCTCAGACTTTATCTTATTATAGATTATATTGTATATTTAATCGTGTTCACATATCGGATGTTCCTCAATATACTCGGTTTGCCATCATTTTATATTAATTTCGTTAAATATTTAATGTTGAATTTTAAAGCAACAAAAATTAAATAAACATTATCAGGTTGACGACAAATCTATTTGATCCATTGAATAATTGAAGATGGACCTTTGAAATGTTGGTAATTTGAATATATTAGGTTAATCAAGTATGTTCATGATCATTGTTTTTCTATTATATATTTACTGAATAACAAGTTAGAAAGTTTACCGGAAGGTCTGTTAACATTGACGACAAATCTTTCAGATTTGTAAGTGTAATTGATATTTATATCAGACTTAAACTTATTTAATATTGTGTGGAATTTTTAATCATATACATATTTACCTGGTGTTTTTTCTTAATATACTTGTGTGTCAATAGCTCTGCAGGTTTATCCCATTCTATTGTCTAAAAAAAACTTCCTTCTCATATGCTTATTTAACTTTTAATGTTATTCAATATTTCAAAATTAATATTAGAATTCCTTTTGGTAATTTGAGTAGTATTAAATACTAAATTGATTAAATACGTTCTTACATAATGAAGATGATTGATTTTCATCTAAAATTGTATCATAAAACAACTTAGTAATATTACCAGATAGTCTGTTATTATCGAACACAAAGTTTTAAGAATTTTAATTGTGATTAATGTTTATCACAGACTTTATTTTATTATAGATTGTTTTGATCATATAATCACATAAATATATAACTGATGTTCTTCAATATACTTGTGTGCCAACCACTCAGGAGATTTACCATTATTTCATTTTATACACAAACGTCCTTTGTGCATACTAATCTAACTTTCAAGTGGCATTAGCTGTCAAATTCATGTTCACTGATTGGACTCAAATTCTCATATTTAATTTATAACATACTAAAGGTATGTCCAAATGACAATAAATTTAAAATAAACAACTAAAATGGATGGACTTGATAATATACATCAACATTTCGTGTGTATTTTAGCCTAGACACCATCTCATTAACCATCTAGATGACATCTGAATACTGTTGACGGTCATCTTACTTAATATAAATATGAATATAAATAAATAGCTACGACGTGCTCAGCATGAGGCCGAATTATTCACTTGAAAGTCAATAATACATCATCGATGTGTTTGTCCACCATTTTTAATCTGCCATTTTCTAAATCAGGAAATGCAATCACCGAGTCAGGAATATGACAGTTGTTTTCCATTCGTTTGATGTGTTTGAGCTTTTGCTTTTGCCATTTGACAAAGGACTTTCCGATTTTGAATTTTACTTGGAGTTTGATGTTTTTGGTATTTTACATTTTTTTCAGCATATTTTGACAAATTTGGGCCGAACTAACTGCTTATAAAAAAAAATATTTAAAAATTCCGCTTTTATTAATACTTTAAACAAAAAAGTTCATATTTAAATTTTTGTCTAAATTGTAGCTAATGCCCCTTTAAAAATCGCTCAATATTTAAAGGTTGTAGGTGAGAGCTTATATAATGCATCAATAGTGTCAGTTAAGAGAAAAAGATATTTTATCTATTGAATATACGGAGATAGAAATTGGTAATCTTTGGTAAGTTCAGTATCAGTGTTTCAATTAAACTTGTTCTTATATAACCAAGATAATTGATTTTCTTCCAGAGATTTAGATTACAACAACTTAGCAAGTTTACCAAAAGATTTGTTATCGTCGAACAAGAATCTTGGATATTTGTAAGTATGATTTATGCTTATCTCAGACTTTGTCTTATTATAGATTATATGTATATTTAATCACGAACACACATATGTGATGTTCTTCAATATACATGTTTGCTGAGAAATGTACAGCTTTGTAATCTTTCTTTTTTACTCCGTTAAATTTTTAATGTTGAATTTTAAAGCAATAAAAATTACATCACCAATATCAGAATGACAACAAATATATTTGATCCTTTATTGTTCATCACTGCTCATGATTATTGATTAAAAATCTGTAGAAACAACATGGTACTTTGTCGTTGTTTCTTATAATTGCATCTTGTTGCCGTATCTTATATATTTCTTCCCTTCAAGATTTTAAATTATTTCCCAATAATGTGAAAAAGCAGACATGGAAATGCACATGACATTAGGATTAACCTTACATTAAATTTAATATTTAAGGTATATGAGAAGAAACCCATTCATATGCTGCCTCATGATTGAGTTTCAAGAATGGGCATCAAATCAAACACAACTGAATTATTACGGAAAATGTACTGATTTAAATAACACAATAGATATTGACAGTTTTAACACAGAAGAATGCATAATTCCAGGTAAGCAGATAAAAATATTCCAATTCACTCAGGTTTTGTAACAATAGACATTATACTAAAATAATGGAAATCCCCCTATGCCACCCTACAATAATTCATATACAGTATCACATAATTCTGTATTATCAAAAATATAAGAATGCCTTAAAGGCCGGGCCTAGGGTATAAAAGGGAGACAATTCATGAAAATATGGATTTTTTTTCAAATAAAGGGCATGGTTAAGAAGTGAGAAGCATTTTTTAAAATTAATTCTTAAATTGTTATCTTCATTGCTATTTACTTGAGCAGGTGTCAGAACATAAATAATGGTCAGTTTAAGCCAAAATGTGAGAAAGTAATATAACTTAAAATAAAGATATTTTAGATTAAAATCATGACGCACATCTTTCTTTCAAATTCAAATTCAAATTCCTGTGATTGACAAGTAGGAGGAGGTATCCATGACAACAACTTTCTGTTTATGTTTACAACGGAGGTATCATGCTACATATGGCTTTATTATCTATAATCTAAAGCATACATTTGTGAATTGAGAATCTACTTACATAATGCAGGGGATCAATCAATTAAATAATCCTTTCAAAGCTTCAGTATATAGATAGTGCCAACTAATGTTTTAAAAGTATGTTATACTAGTATCCCAACTAAATGTCACTTATAATAAATTTATGTAACTATTCCTAGAGGTGGCCCATATAAGTAATATTTTCAGGATTAGGATACCACCCCCTAATTAGTTTTAGGACACAATTAGGCATACTATCTCTTTAATGCCATGTGTAATTTTTGAATTAAGGGTCTCTTTCAAGAGAAGCTTGTTTTCGCATTAAATGTCTGTCTTCCTTGCAAGCTTCACGGTGAAAATTCAAATCACAAAAATACTGAACTCCGAGGAAAATTCAAAAAGGAAAGTCCCCAATCAAATGGCAAAATCAAAAGTTCAAACACATCAAACGAATGGATAACAACTGTCATATTCCTGACTTGGTACAGGCATTTTCTTATGTAGAAAATGGTGGGTTGAACCTGGTTTTATAGCTAGCTAAACCTCTCACTTGTATGACAGTCGCATCAAATTCCATTTTATTGACAACGATGCGTGAAGAAAACAAACAGACAAAATAGCTAAAAATGTCAAAAATAGGGGTACAGCAGTCAACATTGTGTTATCATCTTAATCACTATAAAAACAAACATCATTGTCCAGAAATATTTGTACTTTTCTTTTCGCAAACTATGATTTCTTTGATGTCTCCATTGAGGTTCCCTTTTCCATCACATTTGTCTGGTTTTTTTTTCATTAGTAATGCAAGGTTTACAAAAACAAAAGCGACATTCCTCACATTCTTGGTCTTGTTCTATGAGGAATTGGTTTTCTTCAATTCCATATTCTATCTCGTCATGTACAATGCCACTAGTTTGTGTGGATATAGTTGTAAATTTTGCAATCTCATTGTCAATATCTACTAAATTTACATCCCAGTTGTAATATCCAAATAAACTGTAAATAGTTTCTTTTTGTTCTTCAGTGACAAGAAGTGCTATTTTTGCCAAGTGTTTATTTTATATCTAATTTACACGACTTGACCTTTTATCAAACTATAGCAATAAAAAAACAATATTTTTTTCCCTCCAAATCTTAGCACCAAATATGTTGGATATCATATTCCCAGTGTTAAACACACCTCATTATATAAATAGCACATACCTGAGAGGATGATAGAGCAGATTGTTACCCTGAGGAAACATTGTCAACTGAGGCAAAGCCGAGGTTGACATTGCTTTTTCGAGGGGTACCAATCTGCTCTATCACCCTCTCAGCTTTGTGTTAATTAATTTATTATACTGAATGTTCTATCATTATTGTTTATTACTGTTAAATTTAAATTGATGTCCGTCACATACACAACAACGTAACAGATATTAGAAAAAACAACAGAATTGAAGCAAGACATTTTTATATTTTGACAGTCTACGAAAAAGTTCCTCTGAGGCCAAAAACAAAGACCATGAACATTGTCTTTAATTTATTGATGTAAATTAAAAATTCATTGTCCTTTAATTCATCGATTTTTTGATTGGTCTGTACGAGAGGGTGACATTAAAAAAATTGTCTCCCGCTGAGTCATGGGATAGAGAAAATTATCTCCCTCGTATTATCCAAACAAAATTTGGCATTTTGTCGTGAAGTATAATAAATTATAATAATGTACGTTCAGGAGACATCTCATTCATATATTTCTGTTTTACACTGAAAGATTCTACATATCGGAAAAAACTGACATGATGAAAATGTTTAAACATTTCTAACATACTTTTGTAAGACATTGCGTCTGTAATGCTTTGAAAATTATTTCCAGTACTCCTTTATAATCCCCTTTCAATTTGAGAGAGGCTATCATGCAGGGCAGTGCATGTTTAGTAAGGCTTTATTATCAATTTGTTTAATTCTTTCTGCGCCACCTCCTATAATTCAATATTTAAAAAAATGTCCATTGCTATAATGTAATTGTAAAATTATTATATCCATAAACATGTCCATTGCTATAATGTAATTGTAAAATTATTATATCCATAATATGATTCCTAGAAATTGTAGATAACAAATATAAATAAAACAATCCCCTGCCATGGTTCGAAATTTTCTTAGACTTGGTCAAATATACAACTGTTTACATATAGATCATGTAGATAATCTTCTAGATGTATAATATTATATTGCATCAGTAACATTTAGTATTATTCACTTGCTATTGAAAATGGAAAAAGAAACAAAACGACATCCTTGCTTCAAAATTTCTGTTCCTGGAGATGAAAGTAAAAAGCAATTAATACTTTCAAAATTACAAAATGTTCGGACTATACTGTGCAGCAACTGAATACCCTGTAAATAATGCTGACATCTTAGAGAAGGTCTGAGACAATTTTCTTTTTGACCACAATAGACAGTCCTCAAAGTCTGATATGACAACATTAGATTTGAATACCTACATTCAGGTGCAGAAAAAAGATGTTGATCAAAAAGTATTCCTAACGGCTGAAACATCACTCCTGAAAATCATCAAAGTTGTAGAAAACCACTATTTTATTTGCAATGGACATTTCAGTATGAAGAAGTTGACACCAAAAGGACATGTAGCTGCAGTGCGTTTAAATTGTGACAAAGATAAACACCATTCTATTTTATGGTCATCCTCTCCTTATTACCTAACGGTCAATACCTTGCAAACGTGAGGATGTTTCATGGATATACTTGTAGTGGAATGTTACAAGTACACTACAACAGATTTGCTAATGCTGCAAAAATTGGACAGATCAACAAACAAAAACAGCAATACATGTTTCAAAGATTCAAGCATCATATTGAACAGCAGTACAACGAAAGTATCGAGTCGACAGTATTAGACGAAATTGGAATGTATAATGACTTGACAGGAATTAACATAATGGCGGATGTTCGACATGGCTGGCGTAAAAACGCAAAAGACAGCAGTGTTGTTGCCATAGGAGAAAAATCCACGAAGTTCTTAAATAAAGGCAACAGTAGTATACCGCTGTTCGAAATTCATAAATCGATTGAGGAAAAAACAAATCCGGGTTACAAACTAAAACTGAGGGAAACACATCAAATATAAGAGGAGAACTACGACACAACAGAAACACATCAAAATGTAACACACACAGAAACGAACTAAAATATAACAAAAGCCATTTTCCTGACTTGGTACAGGACATTTTAAGAAAAAAATGGTGGGTTGAACCTGGTTTTGTGGCTAGCCAAACCTCCCGCTTTTATGGCAGTATTAAATATAACATTAAAATGACAACATTACATGACAGGACTACAATACAAATAAATGGGAGAACATATAGGACAGAGAAACATACGAATAAGAGCTAACAAAAGGTACCAGGTTTAAAATTTAATATGCAAGACGCGCGTTTCGTCGACACAAGACTAACCAGTGACGCTCAGATCAAAAAAGTTCGAAAGCCAAAACAAGTACAAAGTTGAAGAGCAGTAAATGTGAACATATTACATAATCTGATGATTCTGTATCACAACGCCATGAAAAATTGTGTACACAACGAATATATCAGTACTGTAAAGAGCAAGATGTTGAAGTTAATGTGCATTCTCATGACTTCAACTTGAGTATTTACAAACTAGTAAAAGACAAAGGAATTATTATAAACCAGAATGATCCATGGCATGCTATTAAAAAGTTGAAAGTTGCTATGAAAAGAGTGTCTGCGGGACCAATATATATAAAGGAAAAGTCCTGGTCTGCTCAACTAGAGGACAAGGTGGAATCAGTTGTCATACATTTTCATTGGGCCGTTAGAAATTGTGAAGAAAATCCAAAGGAACTAAAGGATGTATTGCTAAAAAGTGTGGAACATTATAAGAACAACCACCAGAAGTGTCATCCTGATTCACGATGTAAACGTGGTACACATTACGAACCTAAGCGGATTAGTTCTTTCAATACCAATTGCTGAAAAACTTCTCCTAGCTGTTATACGGAAATCTACAATTTACACTCATCCTGAGGATTATGTGTTAGCCAAAGATACATGTTATGTTGAGAGCTTTAACAATACTATGAACGTGTTTCAAGATAAAAGAATTGTTTTTAGTGATGACAATTACTAAGGTAGAAGTCAGTTGGCAGTTTGTCATTGGAATGAAAATGTTGATCGCGATTACACATCTATCTGGAACCCAAACTGTAGAACTACCCCAAGAAGTAACATTGGAAAAAAGAACTATAAGCCTCCAACTTATAATTACAAACAAAATTACAAAGTATTTGGGCAAGGCAAATAAATTCATTTTATTAGAGAAAATTAGAGAGGAGTTAATGTTAATTTATCATTTGTATTATGAAAAGAAAATTTTGAATTATTTAAATAACAATTCATGGATGCAACTTAACATTTTTTTTATAACTTCATGCCTCATTGAACCATTCAATATTTCTTATTGGATACAGTAACATTGTGATTCTATATTATATATAATTGGATTTTCATGAGATAAAAATCTGTGTGTAAGTTTTACTAGTTTCTTCATATTTTCTCTTATCACAGCATGCAGTTATGAACATGTGCTTCTATTTACATGACAAGTTAATTCACTAAAAATAATCTGTTTCTTATCTTAGCACCGCTCATATCTAAATAGGTTTAATTGCTGTAGGGATGTAAAATTTTCTAGGTCATCCCCGGTCTTTAAGAGGAACAATGATAACTAATTTGTGAACATTAAAGTGCCCCCCAAAAAACTAACCATTTAGAAGTAAATTTTGGGAGACAGAAATCTGATTTTCAAGCCTCTTTGTCTTTTGGTTTAATGAGGAATTACATGGATAGACTGTTTGTTGAGGAATCTTATTTAAAAAAAAATTCCTGAAATGATATGAACCACATAATTTGATAAAAAAATTCAAATCACAATTTAAAAGAAATTAAGTGAACATGTGACGTTGATTCACATGCACCTCGTTCTGCTGAAACATGTGACGTTGATTGACATACACCTCGTTCTGCTGAAAACACTGCTTATTTTTCAAAAGAGCTGCAGTTATGCAACTGTATGCAATAATACTATATCAAGTTGTGTTTGTTCATCATCATACCTTAATGGAAAACTAATATTTAATTTGAAATTATCCACACAAATCTACAAATATTCCACCAGTGATTTTTATCACCTTGATTCTCCTTAGGTGTAAACTTTTAAAAGATCTTATAGAAAAAAATAATGAAAAACATATATAATGTATTGATAGTCATTCATTTCGAAAAAAAACCTAAAGTAGGTCGGTATAAGTAGTTAAATTATATATAGAGGAAATTAAAGTACAAAACATGCACGAAGTGTTTGACAAAATCATATATTCATCAAACTCTTTTGTGGTCAGTGTAGTAGTAAGTGCTATATATATGTAGTATTAAATAAATTTAACAGACATTGTCATGGCTAACTGTTCTTATACATATGCAATAGTTTTGAAAACTAATATTATTATCATCATTATTATTAGAACTTGTAGTAGGATATTTTAGGGTAAAGCAGACACCTTTCTTAAGGGAACTCATATGCAATAATATAAAATTGAGAATGGAAATGGGGAATGTGTCAAAGAGACAACAACCCGACCATAGAGCAGACAACAGCCGAAGGCCACCAATGGGTCTTCAATGCAGCGAGAAACTCCCGCACCCGGAGGCGTCCTTCAGCTGGCCCCTAAACAAACATGTATACTAGTTCAGTGATAATGGACGTCATACTAAACTCCAAATTATACACAAGAAACTAAAATTAAAAATGATACAAGACTTACAAAGGCCAGAGGCTCCCGACTTGGGACAGGCGCACAAATGCGGCGGGGTTAAACATATTTTGAGATCTCAACCCTCCCCCTATACCTCTAGCCAATGTAGAAAAAACAAACGTACAACAGTACGCACAGTAAAAGTCAGTTTAAGAGAAGTCCGTGTCCGATGTCAGAATAGGAAACAAAAGAAAATAAACAAAATAACAATAATACATAAATAACAACAGACTACTAGCAGTTACTGACATGCCAGCTCCAGACCTCAATTAAACTGATTGAAAGATTATGTCTTCATCATATGAATTTCAGGCACAATCCCTTCTGTTAGGGGTTTAGTATTATACCATCATAAAATATATGAGAAGAACATAACCCGTGTCATGGCAACAACTGGTTTTAGAATAAATATGTTTAATTCCGATGCAAAGACCCTATAAGTGAATAAATATTAAAGCCAAAATATGCAATCTTTAATGATCTGACAACAGTATTGTAACTATATCCCTTCTTCTGTTTAAAGGTTTTGTTAGCTTTTGAGGTGAATACTGACATTTTTGTGCTTTGTAAAGAATATTACCATAAAAGATTGGATGTGAAATACCCGAACGTATAAGATGTCTGCATGTTGAGTTATATTTACGAATGATGTCCTTATACCGATGATAAAATTTAGTAAATGTTTTGACTAGTTTATGATATCGAAATCCCTGGTGTAATAATTTGTCAGTAATACATAAATTTCTCTCGCTAAAATCTAATACGTTGTTACATACACGAGCGAATCGTACACGTTGAGATATATAAACACCATAAGATATACCCCTGTCGACACACCCGGTTTCGCTCATTTTGGATTCCGTAAAATTCAGTTTCTGTTTGTTAAAGTAGAGGGGCGAAAGATACGAGAGGGACATTCAAACTCATAGATCAAAAATAAACTGACAACGCCATGGCTACAAAAGAAAAAGACCAACAGACAAACAATAGTACACAAAACACAACATAGAAAAATTAAGACAAAGCAACACGAACCCCACCAAAAACTGGGGGTAATCTCAGGTGCTCCGGAAGGGTCAGCAGATCCTGCTTATCTTCTGGCACCCGTCGTGTTGCTCATGTTATTACAAACCCGGTAAATAGTCTAATACGGTAGGTCACATTATTACCTTGATTTTTTTCTTCTATATCGATTGATGAGAATTGAAAATTAGTTAACTACTGATGATCATAATTAAAAGGAAAATTTGTAATTCTATTATTAAAATAGTTAATGGAGGATGGTGCCCTTGGTTAGACTCCTCGTGTTCTGTTACTTGTGGAGATGGTGTCATAGTCAGAACCAGAACATGTGACAATCCCCCACCATCTGACGTTGGACAGAATTGTGATGGTTCCAAAACTGAAACATCACATTGCAACTTAGGAAAATGTCCAGGTAAATTAAGTACATCAGATTAAAATCAGCATTACCTTAGAATTCAATTGTAAACCAGAGCGGAACACTTCTTTGTAGAACTTTGTAAATCCTGTTAAATCTATTATTTTATTCTGTAAAATAAGAATAAAAGAAATCATCAAAGATGTAAGGCTTTTTCGCCATACTCGTATTTCGTCTACGTGTGACTCATCTGTAGCGTTTCAATGAAATCAGTTTGGAGGCAAGAGCAAATACTAGGTTAAGGGCATAAAAACCCAAAATTCAGAAAAGTACCAAAATCGGTTAAGTCAATCTATGCCTAAGGTAAAACTTCCTTAGTGTTTTCAATATTTCAACACTTCAAAAACATATCAATAATATATCATGTCAACACGAAATTGTTTATTACTGGCCTGGTGATACCCTTGAGGCATTGAACTTGTTGTAAACAATTTTATTTTAAAGCTAAAGCTCATATTGGCTGACATAATAAATCAATATTTATTTCTGAAAAGTATTTATAAATCTATTTTATCAACCAAAAAAAATAAACAAAAACAACTTCAGGTCAATATACAGTCTTCAACATTAGACAGGTATCCATACAATATTTCACACTTTTTATCATTCCGCGTTCGTTTGATATAAAAGAGAAGACGTGGTATGATTGCCAATGAGACAACTCTTCACCAGAGACCAAATGACACAGAAATTAACAACTATAGGTCACCGCACGGCATTCAACAATGAGCAAAGCCCATACCGCATAGTCAGCTATTAAAGGCCTCGAAAAGACAAATGTAAAACAATTCAAATTAGAAAACTAACGGTCAAATTAATGTACAAAAAAAAAATGAACGAAAAACAAATATGTAACACAGCAACAAACGAAAACCACTGAATTACAGGATCCTGACTTGGGACAGGCACATACATACAGAATGTGGCGGGGTTAAACGTGTTAGCAGGATCCCAACCCTCTCCCTAACCTGGGACAGTGGTGTAACAGTACAACATAAGAACGTTTAAGTTGGTAATAGATTTAACCAAAAAATCAAAGATATGCCATTACTATCTAATTCTCCAAATACGAAAAAGTTTAATATGACACAATTACTGATCATCAAGATGGTTCTATAAAAGTCTCACCTTGAGTCAATGAGGTTGTATTTTGTTCATATCTTTTACAGAATCATGCCGTCATTCAAAGAAAGGATCCAACAACAAATCAGAAGACAATCTGGACAATAAATCAGGTAAATTTCCCCCATAATCTTACCATTCATTATGACGAGCAGAAAGTATGGTCGACATCAATACATTTTTTGTTGTGCCATTGCAGTTATTATCATTTTCCGATTTTAAATTTATTACGAAACAATGTAAAAAGAAGACTATACCCTGAGAGGACATTTCTGTTTTATTTCATCTATTCAAATATAGTTACCTGTCATGTGATGAGGAACGAATACAATTCATATTTTTGAAATGTATCGATACAATCTGTATTGAGCTCTTAAGCCGGACTGTGTTTTCAATATCATATTAAGCACAAATACCCTTCCTCTTATGGACTAGCATGGATATCGTACAGAGAAAATTTTGGTAACCTCGTATCTATACATTCATTTAATTACTTTCTGGTTTCCTTATAGAAGAGACCAACAAACAGAATGTTTGTCTGAACGTCTTGTTAATTAAAGGCAAAAGTAGTTTATTGATATTCTAATCTCTTTGAACATTCAGAATATAAAAATCAAGAGAAAAACTCTCAGTAAATAGCTCCAATCGTCATGCGACTAGATGCAGAGAAAGAATTAGCGTATCCCACACTTAGTCAAAATATCAAAAATGTAAAACAGTGTGCAGCTGGTTTATAAGAAACAAACAATTTGATTGCGTTTTAAAATACAATAAATGCTTACTAAATGGTTAACACATCTGAAAGCATTTCCAAGATCATTCACCATTACAACGAGTGACTTTAATATCATTATTAAAATGGCGTACAAATAAAGTATACTGTTATAAATCACAATGTTTTATGAACACTTATTCATTTATCATTTTTCTTCCAGGAAAAAAACAGCGTAAATGGAAAGCCATGAATCAAAAAAGAAGGGACAATATTGATTGGAAAAAATGAAAACAAAGTGGATCGATTTCATTCTTATATAAAACTGAGAGACAATGCAAACATAGTCTTAATTTTATCATCATCATTGTGGGAAATGTCATTCTTTTTTGTTTTAAATTTCAACTGGTAATATCTTAGATACAATCTGTGTGGTTTACTTTCTCTCGAGCGCAAACTTACTTGTATGTTGTGGTCTTAAAATCAGTTATTAGGTTAGATGAGTTTTATTAGACCTGTTATAGCAGTGCATCTGTTCGTCAATGATATGTATGACATATATTTATAAAATTGTGTGGGAATAAATGTTTTGTTATATTGTTTGATGATATTTTGTGGGATATACATTGGTTAAAAGTTACCATTATTTGGTGATATTTTGTGGGAATATTCATTGGTATAATCAACTTGTATTTGTATCATTTGAATCATTAATTTATATGACTTTTTTTCTCAATAAATGCGGGTATAAATTTAATATTACATGTTTTCATTTTGTTCCCAAATAAATATCAAATGAACAATGCAAATGATTCACAATGCCGTATACATTTAATTCACAGTCAGGAGCTAAACTTATCTCAATTTTCAGTAACTTCAAGTTAACTCGACACTTTATCTGAATATATCAGGGCTATTCAGTCGTGCATTAAGAAGCGCATTCAAACTCTACGAATGAAATGAGCAAATGGGTTTCTAACCCTTTACAAAAACAGATATTTTGCATGCTTTATCCTCTCTTCGGGACAAATGTGTTGATGTTGCAGCCGACAAAGCCTCTAATTACAAAGGTCGAAAATAAACTGACAACACCATGGCTAAAAAAGAAAAAGACAAACAGACAAACAACAGTACACAAAACACAACATCGTAAACTAAAGACTGCGCAACACGAAACCCACCAAAAACTGGGGTTGATATCAGGTGCTCCAGAAGCAGATCCTGATCCACATGTGACACAAAAAGCGAAAAAAGGATGGGTAAGCAGGTCCTGATCCACATGCGACTCTCGTCTAACTCAAGAACGCAATATCATTATTCACGCAAGAGGACATTTTAGTAAAAAAAAAATGCAACCTTCTCTCCTTTCGTATTAACATTAAAAGGACTACAAAAAGCTCAGTCCAAATACTGGATACCTTCACTTCTAAAAAATCATTTAAAAAAAGACATATACCCAGGTTGTCAAGATGTTCAACTAAATATCTTTCTTAAGTTCTTACTACCAAAATTTCAACAGTAAAAGATGGCCTTCCAAAATATTGTGATGATGTATATTCGATCAGTGGTGTCAAGTAGATGTGGGTTCTTAAATCTTTTTAAGATTTATTGGATAATTTTCAATCACTTTCTTCATAATTTTGCAGTAATATCAAAACTTTTGATTTTCCTACGCTTTGCACTTCTATTGCATATGATCAATTGGAGGATTGACCACATCTTCTCATTAAGAAGTAAAAAATACCGAACTCTGAGGAAAATTCAAAATGGAAAGTCCCTTATCAAATGGCAAAATCAAAACTTCAAACACACCAAACGAATAGAAAACAGCTGGCATATTCCTGACTTGGTAGAGGCATTTTCTTATGTAGAAAATGGTGGATTAAACCTGGTTTTATAGCTAGCTAAACCAATCAATTAAAAGACCTTTTCTACAAAAATAGGAATCGTAAATTAACATTTCTTGTTGTAGGTAATGAAAAATCTTACTTCTAAAAAAAACGCACTGATTTGAAAAACAAATAAAAACCAAGAAAATAATATCATCAAAAATATGGTTTTTTTTTTAAGGTGGATTGATATTTCAACAGACAGCATTCTAATGGGTACTAATACACCTACTGGCCGAATTGTTTTAAAACTCATATGAAGAAGAATGCATACAAAATCTACTCAACGACATGTGTGTGTCTCAACTCACTATCGTCTTAGATATGTATATACCACCATAGTTGTCTAATCTGTAGTTTTACCAAATATGCACTATCCCCGATTGTAAAATTTTGACTTGAGTATAGATTCGCATAGCGGGAGACACTCACCCTGTCAACGCACCCAGTCTCACTCCATTTGCAGTTGATGCGATTCTCCCAGTTTGTGTGTGTAACTTGGTTTGTCTTCTTAATTGATTGATGAGATTTGAACATCGGTTAACTACTGTTGCACATATTTACAAATCTGAGATTCACTTACATATCAAAAATAAGAAGATGTGGTATGATTGCCAATGAGACAACAAAATAAAAAGCCCCGAAATGATGTAAAACAATTCAAAGAAGAAAACTAACGGCCTTATGTATGTACAAAATAATGAACAAAAAACAAATATGTTACACAGCAACAAACGACAACCACTGAATCACAGGCTCCTGACTTGGGACAGGCACATACAGAATGTGGCGGGGTTAAACTCGTTTGAAGGCGCAAACCCTCTCCTAACCTGTATTTTGGCTTTTCTAGGTTAGGGGGAGGGTTTGCGCCTTCAAACGAGTGCTGTGGAACATCACCGTCCAAAAAAAGGAAAATTAACAATAGGGAACGAAAAATCGTCACTTTACCTTATACTCAGGTACTTTTGATAGATATACAATCTATCTCTAGTGCGGTGACAGAAGTGTAAAATGTCGTCTAAATTTCGAGTTTAATCTCCCCAAATAAAACACGGCTAAAATGGTCTTAACTTAAAGACAAATATATCTACGTTATTTTCCGACCTGTCGTAAGAATTTCGTATAGTCTTATTTTTCTAAAAAATCGTTTTAGTGACTAGAGTATATTGAAGGTTTGCAACCCCCCTTTTTCAAAATGAAAATTTGAATATATTTGCTAACATTTAATTAATGTATTTTTTTTCAATTATTACCATATGTCAAAAAGTTTTATTCAGTATTTTATTTTCATCTAATCTATAAATTTGCAAAGTTCTGACGGTTTAAAATTGAATTAATGTTTATTGCAAGTTCAGACACAAACTTTAATTTCTTTTTCATAGTAGTAGTCATTACTACCTAATAATGTTTTAAGCATAAAGTACCTCATAAAACTTGTTACTGATCAAAATTTCAGAACGTAAATATTAAAAAGCCATAAGATATCAACGAATAAAGGGGAAAATTGCAATTTCATCAAGGAGCTTGATCACTCCCCTTTCATCACATTTTGTGTATTATTAAACTTACGTTTAATAATTTGCACTCAACTGATTTATGAAAAAAACTACATTTTTTGCTATTATATACAGATATTTCAATTAAGTGCACTTATATATGTACAAATTTTGTTTGTATATGTTTATATCTTAATTTGTTTTTGCTATAACCCGTCAAATATCACTTTGTCAGAAAAGTTAAAATAAACATCCAGAAAATACATGGATCCTTCTTTCCGCGTTCATGTCATCGTTTCAAATAGGGAAAATGCCGATGCCAAACAATTTCCTGAGGTGAGGGTTTTTTGTGAAACACACATTTTGCCTTTGACTGAAGAGTTCTGGAGATGGGAATGTGAAAAAGTCTCACAAATTTAAGTTCTGGGACATCTTTTTGCAAGCCCTTCAAACACTTCTTCAGAACTTTAGATAAAAAAGAAGGTGATTGGTCTCTTCACCTGCATTTTTGGGCTGTTATTTAGACGAATTATGTATACAGAATGTGTTTTCAGCCTTGTATCACCATCACTGGTGATCCGATGAATAAAATATGCCGAAGAGTTGTCACTGAATCAGACGTACTTATATATACATAAAACAAGTCTTAATTGAAAACAACGTTCAAACCTATGATTGCGTTGGATAAAAACCGCAATTTTTATACGTGTGCATGCAAAACAAATTTCTTGGTAGAGGGGTCTAAATACAGCACAAACAACATTTTCCAAAAGACCAAAAAAGTGAAAAAAGTATATTTTAACAAAACGCATTTGACTAGCAGGTCGAGCAACGGATGTTCTTAAACCCTGCTGACTGCCATGGCGATTGCCAAATAAACGGATCACCAGATGTAACAAAATGGATCTTAATTATTAATTTAATATAATACCAAACAAAAAACAATAAACTTGCGGAAAAGATGATATACCGCAAACATGAGGTGCAATAATTTGTACACCATATTCGTATTTCGACAATTAATGTCTCTTCTGTGACACACACATATATATATATATATATGTTAAAATATACTTTTTCACTTTTTTGGTCTTTTGGAAAATGTTGTTTGTGCTGTATTTAGACCCCTCTAAAAAGAAATTTGTTTTGCATGCACACATATAAAAATTGCGGTTTTTATCCAACGCAATCATAGGTTTGAACGTTGTTTTCAATTTAGACTTGTCTATATTTTTTCGTTTGGGCTTGTATTATATTTGCCTTCGGGTTTATATGATCCGTTCATCCTATTTCGACTCTTTCAAATTTCAAGAGTCTATCCTAAATTGAGGTAAATTATATGGCCTTCCAAATACCGTTTCGATTCCTAACATCACTGAAGAGACATTAATTGTCGAAATCCGGATATGGTGTACAAATTTTTGCACCTCATGCTTGCGGTATACCATCTTTTCCTCAAGTTTATTGTTTTCTGTTTGGTAATAAATTATTTTAAGTGATCTGTTTATTTAGCAATCGCCAATGGCAGTCAGCAGGGTTTAAGATGGTCTTAACTTAAAGACAAATATGTCTACGTTATTTTCCGACCTGTCGTAAGAATTTCGTATAGTCTTATTTTTCTAAAAAAAATCGTTTTAGTGACTAGAGTATATTGAAAGTTTGCAACCCCCCTTTTTCAAAATGAAAATTTGAATATATTTGCTTACATTTAATTAATGTATTTTTTTCTAGCTATTATCATATGTCAAAAAGATTTATTCAGTATTTTATTTTCATCTAATCTATAAATTTGCAAAGTTCTGACGGTTTAAAAGTGAAGTAATGTTTATTGCAAATTCAGAAACAAACTTTAATTTCTTTTTCATAGTAGTAGTCATTACTACCTAATAATGTTTTAAGCATAAAGTACTTCATAAAACTTGTTACTGATCAAAATTTCAGAACGTAAATATTAAAAAGCCATAAGATATCAACGAATAAAGGGGAAAATTGCAATTTCATCACGGAACTTGATCACTCCCCTTTCATCACATTTTGTGTATTATAAAACTTACGTTTAATTATTTGCATTCAACTGATTTATGAAAAAACTACATTTTTTGCTATTATATACAGATATTTCAATTAAGTGCACTTATATATGTACAAATTTTGTTTGTATATGTTTATATCTTAATTTGTTTTTGCTATAACCCGTCAAATATCACTTTGTCAGGAAAGTCTTATTGTATAAAATCAAAATAAACATCCAGAAAATACATGGATCCTTCTTTCCCCGTTCATGTCATCGTTTCAAACAGGGAAAATGCCGATGCCAAACAATTTCCTGAGGTGACATTTTGTTACATCTGGTGA